TACTTATCTTGACTCTTACCTTTGTACTCAAACACTCTTTGGCTTTTGAAACTGAACTTGTTACCCCATCACCATACCCACATGTTTTTCCTTGCTATTCACACTCCTCCCACCCATTCATTGACATAAATGTCTGTCCACAGGTTCCTCACTCCATGCATTTGATAAAATAGACTGAGTCTACAAAAGCTTCTGTTATAAATGTCTTTCTCTCCATTAATCTAAAAGGTGCTGCAAGATTCCATTGTATCCTTTACACCTATTCACTTTTATCCTGTTTCTCGTTTAAAAGATTGAAAAACTACACTTTAACCAAAACTAATGTAGTAACCCCAGTGGACTCTCAGATTTTAAATGTAGAATTCAGTGGAATTTAACTAATGTGATGAAGTCCATAGCTTGCTATATGGGTTTAAAATAATATAACATATAGTTGTCTGAAGCCAAGCTTTTGTGATGATGACTACTATCTATTTTGTATTGTTAAGAAATTCAAGCCTATGCACGTCATCCTTTTTCCATTCCCAATGACAGCTCTGCTGTGGTGTGGGGAGTTACCTAAAGGTCCATAAGGAAGCATTGTAAAAGACTTTTATTACAGCTATAACCAAATTTACTTTCGTAACTGAATCCAACATAAGCAGCAGAAAAGACCTATGCTTACCTTAACTCTAGATTTTCTCTGATACTCCAACCCCTGCCTCTAGACAGGCATTTGTCAGAACTTCTACACCTTATTTCTGGGTCTTCATCCCCCGGGACAAGCAACAACTCTCCTCTATATAAAGTAACTTACTCCACTGCTTCCTGGGCGTATTTCCTCCTCCACTCTTTCAGATGTTCCCCCAACCTCTTACCTCTAATAGCCCCTTCTCTCAGTTCTGCCCTGTTTTCCTTCACTGTGCCGCCCTTCTTGTTACTTGTTCCTGGTTGACTCCCTCTTGTTCACAAACTTGTTGTACTTTTTCACTTTCTCTTTTCTATTTGCATTTCTTTTTCTGTTCCTTCCACTTTCTGGCCAGCTCACCACATCCCCCTCTCCCTTTTCTATTGGCTTTCTTCTGACACTCATACTTTCCTCCTGTCCACCTCCTCTATCTCTGCCATTTCATCTTTTAAACTTCCTGTGACTTCCCTGACTCTTCCCCCTGCATCCACTTTCAGTGAGGCTTTGTCCAATGCTGTGGATGGGTTTTCTTCCCTCATTAGTTTCCACACTCCAGCATCCTGCCCAGTTAGGTGCTTTTTGAAGGCATGGGCTTGGCATTGATAGGCAGCCTGGCCATCCCTATCCCCCTTGTGGCCCATCACACTCAGATGAAAGCTAGGATGAGTTGTAATTTTGGTGCCACTGAAAATACACATCTATACCGCTGAATAATTGCATTCTTCCCTTCCACCACTCACACAGAATCAGAAAGGTTGCTCTGTGAAGATCAGCATGAAAGTGCATGTTTTGCATGCAGGAGCCACGTGTCCCAAATGACTAACAACTCCAGTGCACTCCAACTATCTTTTTCCTTTGGAGAGCAGCTCCTGCAAGGAATAATGAAGCAAAACCACTTTTCATTGCACCACATTAATAGAGAGTGCTGTCAACCAGTAAATTTATTTGCTAAGCCTTGTTGAGAGGGTTTGGGGAAAACAATTTAGTATAAAATGACTTATTTCTAAGCTCTGATAGTAAGTACCATTAAGCTACAAAATAAGTTGTTCATTATGGAAAGGGGTGCCTGACTAGTTACCTCTTTTCACAATGAACTTGATCCAATTAATTTTTTCGTTATACTTCTGAAGCTTTTCCGAAGAGTAACTTTCCTGCTGGCAGGGTTCCCAGAGGCAGTAGGCTGCAACATGGAAATTCAGGGCTCTACGAAGCCTCAAGATTGGGCCCCTCAACTCCATTGGCCTTGGGTATCATTAACTTCCTCTTCTATTGCTCTTATGATGGGATTTAAAAAATAAAAATGTTGTAGGATCTAAATATAAAATGAACAAACAAACAAAATAGGCAATTTCCCCTTCAAGAAAATCTTGTGGGTAATCATCTATCCTCCAGTGCTTATCTGACTGCAGAAGAAACTGCAGTTATGAATTTAGTGAAGAGAGAGCTCAAATATACATGTGCATCTTTATTTATGAGATGCATTATTTAATATTTTGACATGCAGGTAATTTAAAAATAAGATTTATCAGCAAAGAACACTACTCTCCTGCCACATGGGAAAGTGACACACTCAATAGAGCACTCCTGCCATAGCAATGCTGACTGAGCACATTGAAAATCACAACTTGGTATTTCAGGTTTGCTGCCAAGTATAGATTCAAGCTGCAATAAGTCTGGTTTTTCAGAGAAAACATAAGGAAAGCATATTTTCCACCCACCCTGCACATGGTCAAATCCAACCTTCCCTTGGTGAAGACAGGGCTTTTAAAAGGGAATTGTTGGCTATGTTAATTGTACTATTGCCTATGGTTAAATTAATTGTGGTGGTAATAAAAGGGCTGTAATCCTGCACTCTCCTATGCAAACTCTCTCAACTCAATAGGACCTGCTTTTAGAAGACATGCACAAACCTGCTGCCTAAAATACTGTTGCAAGTCTTTGGAAGAAGTATGAAATGAAGCCATAAAAATAAGTGATAAGTTTATTTAATGAGTAAAAGCCTTCTTCAACCTGAAGCCTTCCGGATGGGTTCTAGATTATCTCCCCAACAATTAATAAATCACAGCACTACTGGACACTGAAAAGGCCTTTGATAGACTAAATTGGGATTTCATTATGAAATTAGTAAAGAATTTGAGATGTGGCAACTTACTCTTCTATTGCTCTTATGAAGCCTTCATCTAAGTCATTTATAAATATGTTGAACAAGACCAGGCCCAGGACGGAAGGGCAGCATCATCTTGGATCTAAATTACATTTTTCCCCTTAAGATCAACATATTTATTTATTTATTTATTTATTTATTTATTTATTTATTTATTTACCTTACTTATATACCGCTGTTCTCAGCCCGAAGGCGACTCACAGCGGTTTACAACAAACAATAACAGCAAGAATTCAATGCTAAGTATAAAAACAATTAACAGCCTACACATTACACAGTTAATAAATAATTACTACAGAAGCCATTCACTATCGTCTCATCATCAGAAACATGATCCAGATTTGTCATCCATTGTTCCATTCCATTGTTCGTTAACCAAGCATTGCACTAATTATTCGAACGCCTGCTCAAACAGCCAGGTCTTTAGTTTTTTACGGAATACCATTAGAGATGGTGCTAGTCTAATGTCCGCAGGAAGGGCGTTCCACAGCCGAGGAGCCACCACCGAGAAGGCCCTATCTCTCGTCCCCGCCAGCCGTGCTTGAGAAGCAGGCGGGATCGAGAGCAGGGCCTCCCCGGAAGATCTCAAAGTCCTGGTGGGTTCATAGGCAGAGATGCGGTCGGATAGGTAGCTTGGGCCGGAACCGTTTAGGGCTTTAAAGGCCAACGCCAGCACTTTAAATTGAGCCCGGTAGCAGATCGGTAGCCATTGGAGTTGGCGCAGCAGGGGGGTTGTATGCTCCCTGCGCTCCGCTCCTGTTAAAATCATGGCTGCCGAGCGTTGGACTAGTTGGAGCTTCCGAGCTGTCTTCAAAGGCAACCCCACGTAGAGAGCGTTGCAGTAGCTCAGACCTCCACAACATATGGCCTGCAGGCTGCAAGCAACCCCCTCCCCTTCAAATGAGTTCAGAGGGCAGGTGGCCTGCCCTGGGCAACAAGCAGAGTGGCCAATGCCAATGCCACCTCTCCTCTCAGGCTGGAACCAAGAGCAGTTACCTGGATCCCACACTGCTTCCTCTTCCATGCTTCTCTCCAGCCATTCCCAACTGTCACACTCGATCCTCTCAGCCAGCGCTGCTCAAAGAGATTTCAAGGTGCTGCTGTGTGCATAAGAGATGTCAGAGTGGCTGTCCCTCTTTTGCCTGGCAGCTCATGCTCACTTGGGTGGCATGTGGAGTCAGTGTGTGCTGTCTATGTGGTGCTGGAGAATAAGTGCACTCAGTCACAAAAGGGTCCAATTTCCCAATTATTGGATGGTTATGGCTATAGCATGACCACATTATGCATGACCATGTGAAATAACACATAATGGCAGATGCAGAGGAAGAATCTTCTTTGTCCCTGCTCTTGGAGTTCTCATACAGCAGGGGAGAAAGCTTGTGAAATCCTGTGGAACAGTGTACAAATACTGTAGTTCAAATGATTCATGCCTAGTATGATATTGCAATAATACCTTTCAAACTGCATAAAACAAGGTCACGTTTGTAGAATGCTACTCTGAGAGCTCTTGAATAGTTGTTTCCATTACATCTAGACTCTGAGCAAAAGAAACCTGATTCTGTATATATATTTATTCCAGAAACTGTTAATGTGTTTCCTATACCTTTTGTAGAATTGACAGATGCCCTGTCCTTGAACCAAGCTAGCTTTGTGATTGCAATTTTGTGAAGAGATCTTAAAAATCAATTAATGGGCCATTTGATAGTGTTTGCAGATGAACAGATCCTAGTGCCTCTAGTTAAAACTATTTCATATGGCATTTTTTTCTTCATCTGGTGAATGAATATGGGTGGTGAAAAGAAATGAGGAAGAAGCAACAGAGCAACGGGGTAGAATTATAAATGGAAAGTGACATTGTCTACCAACCGCCATTGCTTTAATGCATGGATTTGTGGAGCCCTCTTTTGAGCCTGCTAGTTCTTTCCAGATTTCTAAAAAATTAACTCTGCAGTTTGCTACCAAAATTCATGGATTTATAAACAATGGGAGGTCAATATCAATACCATCAGTTGAACCAGATCAAATTGTTGGTTACAGATAGAGAAAACCTACTGATACTTAAATTCTTAGCTGATTTTTTTCCTATTTCTCATTGATCAAGCATAGTTATTAAAAATGAATTTGATAATAATTAATTAATTAAAAACAATTTTAATTAATTTCTTCTAGGCTACCAGAAATCTGAAATTGGATGAAGACTTGCAGCAGAGGTCCTATTTCTGAATGTCGTTAACTGGTGAGTCAGGGTTACTATTTTTATTTATTTATTTATTTATTTATTTACTATATTTCTATACTGCCATTCTCAGCCCAAGGGCAACTCATGGCGGTTTACAGGATGGAGGTTATATGCAGTCATATGTTGGTAGCTACATTGGTGATGTAGAATGTTGCTTTATCTTATTTCTTTATATGTTATACTGGTATATAGTTAATTTTTCGGAAGTATTTTGGCTAACATGCCCTGCCCCTTGAACTTCCATCCCAAACACTTAACCAACCTAAATAAGAAATTGACCAGGAAAAGACTAATGTAAAAACACTCTTTGCAACAGTGCAAAGCTGTTCAATGCTAATCAAGATGGCCAATTGCAACATTCACACCAGCCTCAAACAGACAAAAGTTCATTCTCCCACCCTGGATATTCCACAGATATATAACCTCACTTGCCTAGTTTCCAACAAACCTCACAACCTCTGAGGATGCCTGCCATAGATGTGGGTGAGGCATCAGGAGTGAATGCTTCTGGAACATGGCCACACAGCCCAGAAAACCCACAGCAATCCTTGGAAAAGTTACTTGTTTGGACTGCTACTTCTGGAACCCCCCGGTTGGGAGAGACAGCAAATCCAGAGAAGCAAACTGAGATTATTAAGAGATACCCACATCTGCACAGTGAGAGGTTTCAGGTCCCCTGTTTCTCTCAATATAAATTGCTTCTTATGAATCCTTGTTGTTCTCATCTTTCTTGTTCAAGATAAAGACTGTCATACTGGAGCGGTAGCATCCATTGCTAATGTAGTTCCTCTGTCCTTTCTTCCCCTAAAGATTTGTTGAACATGTTTTATTTTATGGCGCCATCTGGTAGAGACCAGGAAGATGTATTAAAGAAAGGAAAATGAAGGAGGCAACAAAAAGTCCACACGAACAGCTGGTTGCTCATAATCTCTAAGCCTTTATGAAGAAGCCAGTTCCTGCTGATGTCCCCCAGATGGGAAAGTGACAAAGAGAAAGGTTCCAATCCAATTTAAGAAACAAATGAAGCTGGGTCGCTTCAGGTATATAGATACTGTATATTCGGGCTTGTGGATTTGCTTCGGCCCTCCAGCTGAGATCAGTGATCGTTTCCATGTCAGGAGATGGTGAATCCATTCCATCTTTTATGGCAGGCATTAAAATATCTCCAAAAGGTGCTAAACCAGGCATGGACAAACTTCAGTCCTCCAGGTGTTTTGGACGTCAACTTTCATAATCCTACCGGCTGTTAAGAATTCTGGGACTTGAAGTCCAAAACACCTGGAGGAAGTTTGCCCATGCCCATGCTAAACCATGTTCCTAAATGAATTCTGCACTGTTGACAGCTTCTTTATAGCTAAGGTTGTTTTATGCTGCCCTGGAAACTAGGACACAGAGCAATGGCTTCAAACTATAGGAAAAGAGATTCCACCTGAACATTAGGAAGAATTTCCTGACTGTGAAAGATGTTCAGCAGTGGATCTCTCTGCCCTGAAGTGTGGTGGAGGCTCCTTCTATGGAGGCTTTGAAAGAGAGGCTGGATGGTCATCTGTTGGGGGTACTTTGAATGTGATTGTCCTGCTTCTTGGCAGGGGGTTGGACTGGATGGGCCACAAGGTCTCTTCCAACTCTATGATTCTATGATTCCAGTCAAAACCTGGAATGGTTTCATTACAACACTAACATGGTAGCCACAAGATATTATGGTTTCACTACAACACTAACATGGTAACCACAAGATATTATCAAAATGAAATACACAATACGAATAATCAAATAGACATAATTATACTAAGACATAAATCTTGAGAGAATCATTAAAATACATAAAATGGCTATCATGGTTGTTCTTTCATATGTACCATAGCAGCAAAGGAATACAGGTAAGTTAGCCAGTGTTGCGATGGAATAGTACTGCCTATAGGAGATGCTGCCTGAACAAGGCATGGGAATTGTATGGCCCTTCAGATGTGGTTCAGCTGCAGCTCCCAATGGAGCTGACTGTAATTCAGCATTATCTAGAAAAATGTGTAGCTATAGCATGGCCAAAATGAGAGTCTCCCCCCACCCCCCTCCCAATTTTTTTTCTAGCATTGTAAAAGCTTAAAGCTTCAGCTGAACACTGAGAGCTGTTCCACACAAGGCCCATTGTGTGCGAGCTCATGCACTTTTACTGGAGGCATCCAAAAGACAACTCTGGTAAAAGTGACTTAATTTGGCACAAAGCAGGAAAACCTGAAAGATCCAGTATGAGCCCTGTGGGGACTGCCCCCTCAGAAGTCCTGGGACTTCTGAGAGGCAGTCTGCATAGTTCTCTCTCAATCAGCCTGGAAAACTCAGTGGGCTGTAACCCCCTCCCCAAAACCCCCATAAAAATTACTCACTTGGCCACCATCACCATGCTGCTGGAGTTCTGGTGTGTAGAAATGATGCACCAGGGAAAGGGGGGAGGAGGGATTTTCCTCATCACCCCTCCCTTCTCTTAGGGTGTCATTTCTATATGCCAGGAGAGCTCCAGCAACACAGTAATGGCAGCTGGGTAAGTAATTTTATTTTTAGGCCTTTTCTGGGGGGTTTTCTTTGATATCTGGATGTCCTGTTGGAAGATCTGGCAGGGCATCTAGTAAAAGGAAAGGTTTTCCCTTGACATTAAGTCTAGTTGAGTGCAACTCTGGGGTGTGGTGCTTATCTCCATTTTTAAGCCAGAGCCGGCATTGTCCGTAGACTCCTTCCAGGTCATGTGGCTGGCAAGACTGCTTGGAGTGCTGTTACCTTGCTGCTGGAGCTATAACTATTTATCTACTCACATTTGCATGTTTTTGAAATGTTAGGTTGGCAGAAGCTGAGGCTATCAATGGGAGCTCACTTTGTCATGCAGTTTTGAACTGCCAACCTTCCAGTCAGCAAGTTCTGCAGCTCAGTGGATTAACCTGCTGTACTACCGTGTCCCCTCTACACCCTCCCCCCCCCCCAGTTGTGGGTTTTGGGGAGAGGTGTGCGTACTTTAACCCGTGCCCATTCGGCTTTAAGAAAACTGACTGGGTATGGGTTAAAGCCCTGTCTCGAACCGACCTTAGAAATATGGTTTCGGCATCCAAGGTAGGGAAAATTACCAGAGAAATGGAAAAATATAGGACTTCTAGATGTGAACTACTTTCAATGACTTTCTGTGTCTTTGCTAGAAATTTGGGGATTAAATAAACATTTCATTTGGGGTGACAGACTTCTTACTTGAGGGGGAATGCCCTCCTCTTTCTCATTCTTTCTCCCTCCCTCCCTTTTCCTCTCTCTCTCACACACCATCCTACACTCGTGATCTTGAAGGTCATACAGCTCTCATTGCTGGTCTAAACAATAACATGATCTTGAAACTATGGGAGTAAGAAGTCTCCTCAGGTGAGTTCAACAACAATCCAATCACATGCATGGCCTCATTTCACTCCAATTCTTCAAGCCTTTCACTCCACAGCAGATTTCCCCTAACAAGGAGAAGGCAGTCTTTCATTCTTTGTATTTTAGACATATTTAGGTGCTGAATGACACATGAGTCCTCTTTTACAAAAATTAGATTAATTTTGTCTGCATTTTGAATAGGATAAATGAAATTTGAAAGTATGTGTGGGCTGAAAAAGGAGGCGAAGCTTCATTCTGTAGTACTGAAAATGCTCAGTCACATCTAACTGGGTAAGGCAATGAAAGGCTTTATACCAGCGCTATCATTAAACAGAATGAGGTGGTGCCCTGAGGTAGCTCATTTGTGGAGAGGTCACAAAAAGGCAGCTAATTATTAGTTATTTAATTATTGTTGCATTTGTTTTGCCAAGGAAATTGAGATGGTTGCATGATTTTTCTATCCCAGATGCCAGGGTGGCAAGTCATGAATATATGCACTTTGACTTGAGGGCAGGGGACACACCATCTGATGTTTTGCTTTATGTAGAGAAATACCTTGAGCTGGTGTGGCTCATCTCTTTGAGGAAATGTTGAAACAAAGACTGTCTCACTCACACAATCCTATGAAGAGGATGTACAAGGAAACAGACAGTTTGCACAAGTGAGCAAATATCACTTTTCAGGGAAAATCTCAGTGGAAATAGGATGTTTCCAATGCGATCATAGCACTAGAAAAGCTTTCACAGTATATATGGCAGCATCATGGTGCTTATAATTTGGTGAGTCACACTTGTGCTCTGGGTGAAAATGTTTAAAAAACACTCCCTAAATTGCAAATGCCAGGATTCCACAAAATGGACCATCGCAACTAAAGTGGGATTATATAAAAGTGTGAAAGGGCTGCAGCAACCAAACCCACAGCTACCAAAGCAGCAATGGTACCCACTAGAGTGGGTGCTCAGATGGAGATCAGAATGGTGCATCAGTCAAAGCTGGTGTCAAGTGCTCCCTACCACAGAACCCATCTATTGAATTGAATTGTTTATTGTACTAGCCATGACATAAGATAGACAGACTTTGAAAGTACAATAAGCACTTTCCAATATAAATATTAAAACATGTTCCATATACTGGCTCTTTAAAATTATAGTAGTAGTGACATGATAACAGTTACAACCCTTAATGTTATATTTTTGGAATAATCTGCTAACAAGTCACTGATACCGTATATACTAGAGTATAAGCCGACCTGAATATTTATTTATTTATTTATTTATTATTCAAACTTATATGCTGCCACTCCCCTAGGGCTTGGAGCGGCTTACAAACAAACTGGAATCTAACACAAATTAAAACAACATAAGCTGAGGCACCTAATTTTACCACAAAAAACTGGGAAAATGGATTGACTCGAGTATAAGCCGAGGGTGGGAAATGCAGCAGCTACTGGTAAATTCCAAAATAAAAATAGATACCAATAAAATTGCATTAATTGAGGCATCGGTAGGTTAAATGTTTTTGAATAAAACTGGAAGTTAAGATAAGACTGTCCTCTGATTAAAGCATTATTCTAACCTTCTTCAGTGTAAATGTGTTTACAT